ATAAAGGGCATCCAGATTGGAAAAGGTGAAGTCAAACTGTCCCTATTTGCAGGTGACCTGATAATATACATAGAAAAACCTAAACACTCTATCAAAAAACTCCTAGAGCTAGTTAATAATTTCAGTAATGTCGCAGGATACAAAATAAATGCCCCCCAATTTTATATTCTCCAATAATGAGCTAATAGAAAGAGAAATCAAGAAAGTAAGCCCATTTACAATAGTCATACACAAAAATAAAATACCTAGGAATCAATTTAACCAGGGAGGTGAAAGATCTCTACAATGAGAACTACAAACTACTATTGAAAGAAATTAAAGAAGACACAAAAAGATGGAAAGACATTCCATGCTCTTGGATTGGAAGAATTAACATTGTGAAAGTGTCTATACTACCCAAAGCAATCTACAGATTCATTGCAATCCCCATCAAAATACCAATGACATTTTTCACAGAAATGGAAAAAACAATCTCAACATTCATATAGAACAACAAAAGACCCCAAATAGCCAAAGCAATCCTGCCTGAGCAAAAAAAAACCAGGGGCATAACACTACCTGACTTCAAATTATACTACAAACGTATAGTAACCAAAACAGCATGGTACTGGCATAAAAATAGACATTTGGATCAGTGGAGCAGAATAGAGAACCCAGAAATCACCCCTAAGGCTTACAGCCATCTGATATTTGACAAAGGGAACAAAAACATACATTGGGGAAAAGACTGCCTATTCAATAAGTGGTGCTCGGAAAATTGGATATTCATATGCAGAAGAATGAAACAACATGCACCTCTCACCATATACTAAAATCAACTCAAAATGGATTAAAGACTTAAGTATAAGACCCGAAACTGTAAAATTACTAAGGGAAAGTAAAAGTGAAAAACTTCAGGAACCAGGTCTGGGCACAGACTTTATGAGCATGAGCCTGAAACCACAAGCAACAAAAGAAAAAATGAACAAATGAGACTATATCAAACTAAAAAGCTTCTCCACAGTAAAGGAAACAATCAACAGAGTGAAACGACAACCTACAGAGTGGGAGAAAATTTTTTGCTAACTATGCATACGACAAGGGATTAATATCCATAATATACAAGGAACTCAAGCAATTACACACTAAAAAAACAAATAACCCAACTAAAAAATGGGCAAAGGAACTGAATAGACATTTTTCAAAGGCAGACATACAAATGGCCAAAAGGTACCTGAAAAAATGTTCAACATCACTAGTCATCAGGGAAATGCAAATTAAAACCACATTGAGATATCTCACCCCAGTTAGACTGGCTATAATCAAGAAGACAGAGAATAAAAAATGCTGGCAAGGATGTGGAGAGAAGGGAATGCTCCTATACTGTTGGTAGAACTGTAAATTAGTACAGCCACTATGGAAAACAGTATGGAGGTTTCTCAAATAACTACAGATATATCTTCCATATGATCCAGCAATCCCACTTCTAGGTATATACCCAGAGGAATGGAAATCATCATGTCAAAGGCATACCTGCACTCCCAGGTTCATCACAGCTCTGTTTACAATAGTCAAGACATGGAACCAGCCTAAATGTCCATCGATGGACGATTGGATAATGAAACTGTGGTATATATACATCGTGGAATACTACTCTGCCACAAAAATGAATGAAATTCTCCCATTTGCAACAACATGGATGAGCTCGGAGAAACTTATGTTGAGTGAAATAAGCAAAGCACAGAAAGATAAATGCCATATGTAATCATAAGTGGGAGCTAAGAGAGAAAGAAGGAAGGAAAGAAAGACCACAGTGTGTTGGACTTGCAGAGGGAGAGAACGTACCTAGGGATATAAAGTGGAGTGGGGAAACAAAGTGGATGGGGAGAGAGGTGGGGGAAAATTGTGGGGATAATTGGGTGGGGGACACGGGGTATAGTCACAATTTGTGGTACTGGGCATGCTGCAGCATTTATCTGGCCATCACATTTTAGGCGCAAGTGGTGACAATTTGCTTTGTACCCCATGAATGTTCATAACCAATAAAAATAAGGTGTCTGCTTTTTTAAACTTTCCCCACTTGTGACAGAAAAGCAGACACCTGATTTCCTTGCAGCACTGTTGATAATATTTGTTGTGATTATGAAATGACAATACTTGAAAAGAAATAGGCATAAAATTAAAAATGCAAAAATGCTTTAATCTTAGCCATTTCTTGTTCACTTTTTAAAATCCAGTCTTTTCCTGTCTTTCGTGTCTGAATCGGTCATGATTATACACGTCTGCTCTCCCCTTGAATGCATTCCACTACGAGGAACATGAGAGAAGGGTCTTGTCATACCAGCCTCTTCCCTTTCTTTGGAGCCACCAGGGTTGAGAACCTTGTATGTGCCCAGCAACTGGTGGGTCATTGTGACTGCTCTTCACCAAGTCTAATGTCCTCTGGTTTTGAATATTAGGCTGGTCAGAGAGCAATGTCAATCTTCCTTCTACTGCATGGCAAGCACCAAAGACAAGCAGTCCAAATGACAACAGACCTGCAGTGAAAGGTAATAACGGTATTTTATCCCCCTGCAATAACAATTGCCTTCCTTTCCACTGGCCTGTCACTATTTTCTGTATTTCTTTACTAACTTCCATTTGAGCATCTAGAGCTCAAAGCAGGGCAATGGGATAGAGAGTTTTGCATGATCCTAGAAATTACATTCTGACTTTTTTTCTGGCTTAATGTCCTAGTTTACAATTCCCTTTATTAAATTGTAACTAACAAGGATGAATCAAATATCTGTTCCATGTGATTGGGTGCTCTCCAGTGTTGGGTGGAAATATCAAGGTAGGAAAGGTCATTGAGGTTTGCTATATTTAGCCAAAAATAACCATTTCCACCAGCAAATAAGGCATGAATTAGTGCTCCTGAGAAAGGACCAGGTTTTAGTTGTCAAAAGAGGTCCTTTCAAGCTCATGAGATCTGTTCTGTTTGGGGACAGGCCTCCAAAGAGAACATCTGCTTGAGCGAAGATCTCATCTCTACCTGTGGCTCTCTCTGTTGCTTTGGTCCTCACCCCCCTTCCCTTTGTTGGCCACGGGAAGTTGAAGGAAGTGTCTATCCCCTGTCGTCAGAAAGGGTTCCTATGATGTTCCTCTCTTAGTGTTGTGCAAATAAGTTCGACCTGGTTTTGCCTTCAACAGTGGCAGCCTTGGGAATGTGAGCATGGCACAATCACCTGGCTCCCTGTGGCAGGACCATGATCACTTTCTGGGGTTAGGGGGAAGGGGAAGAGAGCATGGAGCATATTTTCACTGGAGATATCTTTAAGATTTCTTGATATTCTCTATCAAGAATAGAGATCATCGACCTAAATCAGTCTTGCCCCATACAGTTTCCTTGCATGACCTTCTGCGTGACTAAAGGAAGTCGGGTTACTCCATTTTTTCTGCAGTTCTCCCCAGTCCCCTGACCAAGCTATATTGAGCTCTCTCAAGTCTCGGTTATCATATCAAGATAAAACAGGTGTTTTGTGGGCTCACTGCAGGTAGAATCCAACTAATGTTACATAGTAATAACTTCCATGTTACCAACTGGTCTTGCTAGCAGCAGTTTTATCACTGTAATAGATACATTGACTTTCTTGTTATAAAGTAATATATGTATATACAAGAGATTTTGAAAAAAAAAGAGAGGCGAATCATAGTTCTTCACTGAAGAGTACACTGTCAGCATTTCAGTGCCATTTTACTGAAAGGCTCAAAGCCCCTGTTTACACTGGTAGAATCCCACCATTTCTACCCCATCACTCCAGTATAACCACTTTTAGCAACTTGTCTTCCAGTATTTTTTGAGACTCTTTCAAACCAGATGGCCAGCACATTCTTAGCTGCTCTCAAATAAAACCTAACCTGTCAGAGAGACATTTTCTTCATGCTTCTGACACTCCATCCCCCTGGAAAAGAAAAAAAAAAAAAAAAGCCTGGGTCGTCCAAGCCAACAAACTTAGATCCTCATGTGGAATGGTTTATATTAAACCTGGGCCGGCCCGGTGGCGCACTGGAGAGTGCGCCGCTTGGGAGCGCGGCGGCGCTCCCGCCAAGGGTTCGGATCCCATGTGGAGACCGGTTCCCGCTCACTGGCTGAGTGCGGGGTGAACGCAACACCAGGGGTTGCGATCCCGTTGCCGGTCCCTGGTGCGGGCGTGACACCGAGGATTGCGATCCCGTTACCGGTCAGTAAAAAAATACAAAAAGGAAAAAAAAAATAAAAATAATAAAAAAAATAAAAAGAGCCCCCAACTTATTTAGAAATCATTTGCATGAGGCACTCTTTTGAAAATGTTCTCCTCATCTGGAAAATAATGTGGCTCTATAATCGTGGTCTTCAGGAAGCCAGGGCAGGGGTTTCTGTGAAAGGGCAGAAGAAGGGAGAGTCCCTGCCAGGCTGAGGGTGTCGAGCCCACTGGGAAAAGGGAAGGCCTGTCAGGGGCCTCCTTCCTTTAGCAGGAGATGGTTGCAGAAAGCAGTGACCGTGATAGAAGAGGGGAAGCCAGGCCTGGGCACCAGCCTCCTCCTGAGCCCGTCTCTTTGAAGGGTGAAGAGTGACTGTGATATTTCTTCCAACCCAGCACATGTGAAAAGATCCCTGCAGCAGACACTGGAAAGCACCTCACTTCCTCAGCTGTTCAGTCTCATTTCTGAAATAACTGTGCTGTTTCCGGGTTGTGGTGAAGTGGCAGGGCCTGAGGTGCCGGGCAACTCCGTGGGCTGTGGCCATTCGCTGGGGCTGGGGTGCACGTGGGGTTCACTAACACAGGAGCTCATTCTTCACTGAGCTTCAGGACATGGGTTAGGAATGTTATATGCAACCAACCAACCAGGGGGCATAGAACTCCCTAACCATTGCTAGAGGTCGTATAACAGGGCAGTCCAAGTGAATGTGCTCCCTGTTCAGGTTGACGTGCCTGCACCCAGCATGGCAGAAGTGGGCGTTTGGAAAGAGGGCTTGCTAATGCTTCCTCTTCTCTCCCCAGAGCCTTCTAAGTCCGCCTCAGACCTGACTGCCTGGTTCAGCCTCTTTGCTGACCTCGACCCATTATCAAACCCTGATGCTGTGGGGAAAACTGATAAAGAACATGAATTACTCAATGCATGAGTCTGCAGTCTTCAGGAGGAAGCCCACATGCTGCTCCTCAGCAGCTCACCTGCAGGCGAGCAGAAGTATAACATGATCAGTATGCTGTTTTAATATTTATGTGCCATTTTAATAAAACAAAAGGGTCCCAGGCCCGGTTTATATTGGTGTACTTACTCTTATTTGGTATAAAGGGTTGTAGTGCATTCTCTGTATGGATCTAAGCAACACAGGACTGTCTAGGCGTGATTTCCAGGCCACCACCCTCCTGCCAATGTCCCATCATGGCTGCTGCAGTGTCTCTGGGCTACTGTGAGACCCAAGTCCAGATTGTAAACCTACTTTGTGTTAGATTTAAATAAAATGTCCTACAGCCTCAGAGGCAGCAGAAAGCCAACAAAGGTTAAGGGCCTCCTGTGCCCTCTGCCCCTGTCCCCCTTAGAGGGGGACTGCAGGAAGATTCCCTCTTCCTGCCAAGCCACCTTCCAGAGAGCTCTGGAGAAAGCTCTGGCCAATCAAAGACACTGTCCCTGCAGGGCTTGCCTGGTAGCCCATGCATTCTCACACTGGCAGGGGAGCTGGGCTTTTTTCGGCTGCACGCACCTTTCTATGGAAAGCAGCCATTTTTGCAGACAGCAGTGTCTCCTGTCCTCTTCATAGCTGGAGTTCAAAAGCATGGAATTCTGGAGCCCCTTGTGACACTGTTTTTTTGTTTTTGTTTTTTTTTTTTAAATTAAACTATTTGACACGCAAAGTTCATGAAGTCCGTGGTGGGACAGTATTGTGCTGAGGGAGATGCTACGGGGGTGGGGGCTGGAGTGGGACAGAGGAGGAGGAGCGGTCCCACCTGCAGCCTTGAAACTGTTGTACACCCCCCCCCCCCAGATAAGACAGCGCAGGGAAGGACAACACGGGACTTTTGTCATGGATCAGGCAGGACTGGGAGCAGCAGTTGTACCTTTGGACACATCAGCAACTCAGGTTCTCTGCCAGTGTTAGAGGCCCCAGAGCTGGCAGCTCTCTTCCCCTCCCATGTCACAGGTGACCTGCCAAGTGAGGGCCACACACACATCCACAGAGCCTAGGTACCCCACTTTCAATGAGCTAGTGGCCCTGAGTGGGGGTGGATTCGATGATGAGCCAGGAAGTGGTTCTACATGCTCAGCTGGGCCAGGAGGTCTCCTGGGCTCCTGCAGGTTCAGTCCTAGCTCTCAAAGGGCTTCCTGGGACTACTTCCCAAAACATGTACACAAGAATGCCTCCATGGAAGGGCCCGGCCACAGCAATGACCGCGGGCCTCCACAAGACACCCAGACTGGAGACAGGGACTGTGGAAGGTGTTCTGCATGGGGGGGGGGGGGGTCCCCAGGTGCTGGGGCCCAGTGCATTGTAGCTCCTGCAGCTCTGCTCCCTTCTTGGCCCACCAGAGGCTGTCCACAGAGTCCTGTCAGAATCTTAGCAGATTTCTCAGCCTGGCGTTCGTGGGCTTTAAGGATATCAAGATACAGCTCCAGGACCGGCCTCTCGACCCTTTACACACACACCACCACCCCACACACACACACCACACCCCCCATACACACCACACCCCCAACACACACACCACACACACCACCACCCCCCACACACGCACCCCCCCCACACACACACACACATGAGTGTTTGCTGGACCCCCTCAACCCTCCCCCAGTCCTGGGCATTGCTCTCAGGAGCCTCCTCAGAGCCCACCTCCTCCACAAGGACTTCTCCAAGTGCAGCCCCGGGGATGCCTGTGAGGAACTGAGGAACCGGTCCCCATCTCTCCCTGAGAATCCATCAGTCCCTGCCCTCCCTTCCCGCCCCTCTCGCACTGTGTTCAGCAATGCCAGCTCTGCCTGGCCTCAGAAGGCCTGTGCCTTATGCATTGGCTTCTACCACTAGGTGCTGCAACCCCAGAGGACAGGGGCCTTAATTCCCCAAATCCCTGTCTCCCTAGCAATCAGCACCCTGGAGTCACCTTGTGAGCAATGGCTTAATGGCTGCTGAATGGAGCTGCCCTGCACGGACTGCGGATAGGGCACAGACTTTCATCCTGGACCACATTTATTTGCAGCAGTGAGAGCCCACAGCAGCCGCAGAAGTGGCTGCTCAGTCCAGCCTAGAGGCCCAGACAGCAGGTGGGGGAGGGGGGATGGGTGGGGCTCTTCCGTTTTGAATGGATTGCTTTAAATACTAACAGGCTGCATTTTAAAATTGATCCATGGGTGAGGAGAGAGGAGGTTTGTGGAAGTTGGGCAGGCTTTGCTACAAGGAAAGGGAAAGAATTGCACATGGAGACTTATCTCCCCGAATTTGCTTCACATTTTTGTGAAAAAAAAAAAGATTCAATTCCCTTTCCCATCTGCAGTCCACTTGGCCAGCCTCTTGATCCCTTTTGATAGACGTGTTTTGATCTGGGCTCACACAAAGCCCCTTGACCACCTCTCCAGTTTAAGGAGAAGCAGCTGCTGCCTGATTCTCTTTTAAGTGGCCTGTGTGCTGACCCAGCCAGGGGGCTTACTCTGGGACCCACCTCAGGGCTCCTCTCAACACCTACAGACTGTCTCTGGCATGAAGGTGACAAAGGTCCCCTGCCCTCTTCCCAACTCTTGCTTCTCCCTCATTTTTAGCCCATGTTGTGAGGCTGGTCTGACCCACAGTTGCGCTGGAACCCTTGGGGAAATTCATAGAGCACCTGTTCCGGGAAAGCTTTCCTTCCATCTTAGGTGGTCTGCAAGTCTCCCTTCCCTTCTGCCCCCCCCCCGCCCTCCGCCAATATATAAAGAATATACAAATTTCAGAGAGGGAGCCAGAAACGATTCTGCTTCCTCCCTTTTTGCTTCTTTCCCTGGCTGGCATGGGCTCTTGGTGCCCTTTATAGATTCATTCCCTTCAAAATGTAATTTTAGAAATGTCAAGTTGATTTTGAGTTCTGGGAGAGTGAGAAAAGCATCCATCAGCTTCTGATTTAGAAATGCACCAAGTTAGGGAGAACCAGCACTTTGTCTGAGGTTTTTGCCCAGGAAAACGTGATCTGCTGGGAGCTGGCAGCCCTGGGAGCCCTCAGTTGCCAGTGGGCATGTAGGCTGGGCCCATTTATTGTGCATTCCACGATGGTGGGAGGGCCAGGGCTGAGGCCCCTGCAGGTGCCACATGAGGCCACCAAGCCACCTGGGTCAAGATGGCACCTGCCAGGCCTCTCTCACCATCTGCCTGTGCTTCAGCTCCTGCAGCCAGCTAACTGAACTCCACACTTCTCTCTCTCAAGGAGACCTCTCCCCATGGGGACACACTGGCAATGGCTCAGGGCTAAATATTAGGACTATTTGATTTTGCCAATATATCAAAGTTGAACCTGTCTTTGTGATCAATAGTGTCCTCCAGATAGGCCATGGCAGTTAACCCTCTGCCTTGATTTAAACCACCTTCCCAGTCCTCTGACTGGCACCACTCACAGTGCAGGGATGTGGGTCTCTTCAGATTTGTTGGAAAAGGACTTCAGCTTGGAGCCAAGTACACATGATTGGCAATGGCTGCCAAGAATTCTGCAATCAGAAGGGTTCTGATAATTGAGCAATGTCTGTGATGGGTGTGGAGCAATGAGTGGCAGCAACCAATGCTGCATTAGACCTTGCCTTTCACGGTGCTTTTAGCGTTAACTTTTTTTTCTTTTTCCATGAAAAGTAACTAGGATTCTGGAACCTTGAGAAAGGGGCATGTATGGAGGAGAAAAGCAAAAAGTTGAAAGAGCACATCATTACTGAAACCTAACCCAACTCAAACTGACTTCAACAACAACAGAAACACGGGTGTGGATATATTTGCTCAGGTCACCGAAAAGTCGAAGTGTAGGCTTCGGGCATAACTGAGCTCCGTTGTCCTCACCAACTATCCCCTCTTCAGCTCTCAGCTCTGGTCCCCTCTGTTGCTTCATTCCAACAGGCTTTTCTCACAAGGAGGCAAAATGGCCACCAGCATCTCCAGCCGAAGTCTCAGAATTGAGCCTGCTTCGGGTCCCGGATCCACTCTTCAATCACTGGGACCAAGGGGTGGGGTGGGGTGGGGTGGGGTGGGAAATAGTCTGTTTGCCCAGCTTTTTGTGTGTGCTTATTCCTGGAGTCTGACCCTCAGGGACTGAAAATAGAGTAAAGGATAGTTCCTCAAGGCAAAATTGGGCAAAAATGCTGTTCCTAGAGGAAGAAAGCAGGGATGTTGGGCAGGAAAATGCAACAGAGATCCACTCGGTTTCCGGGATGACTTTATGGAGACACTTGTCCACCCCTACCTGGCAGGCACTGGGGTGGGAAGCTTGGAGCTCTTAGTGGCCTGTTGAGGACGCCAACCTTGCAGACGACTTCAAGGAATCACGAAAGGGCTCGCAGAGCTTTTCGCATCAGGCCCGCTCATGCCCAGATGAGGAAACAGAAGGACCAAAGGGATGTCAAAAAACAAATTCACTATTAATGGAAAACACAGGCTGCCTGACTCCTGGGCCAAGGCTTCTTTTACATGAAGCCGTTGGCTAGAAATTGAGAGCTATAGAAAAGAATTCAAAGCCAGGTGAAACTCCTTCTTGTTCTTTTTTTAGAGGTCAGTTATTAAATATACCCTTAGGAGACAGAATCTAGGTGAGCCGTTTAAATCAGTAGTTTAAAAAAACAAAAAGAGTTTGCTCTGAAGCCAGGCAAAGCTGTGGTCAAACCCAGGCTCCACCAGCTATAAGTCATATACCCTCTCTGTTCTTCAGTTTTCTCATCCGTAAAACAGGGTTAGTAACATTCCCTGCCTCATGGAGTTATTACAAGGATTAAGTGAGTTGATGCCCCAAAGACTTTAGCACTGTACTTGCACACAGCAGAGCAAAAACATAGCCACAAGTGTCACCGAAGTCTACTCTCTTGGTAAAACGCTATTGAAGTAGGAGGCAGAAGCTGCTGCTTCTCCCAATGACCTTCCATAAGACTCTCCAAGCCCCATTTTCTCTCCCCACCATTTATTAACTCACTCCTAAATATCATAGGAATGGGATGGGGAATAGGACAAGACTTGAAAGTCTAACGAACGAGCTGCCCCTGATTTTTCTATAAAGCTGAACAAGATTCTGTCCTGAGACTGGGAGAAATGAAGTGGGTTCTCGGCCAGACAA